TTCAACGAGCCTTTTTGCTGTATTTTTCTTGAACACTTCGAAGAGGAATATTTTCGAGGGAAAACTAAAATTAAAAAGGTTGTTGGACGTTAACTAAAGGAGACATACAAAAAATGAGAGTGAACTATGAAAGTGCATAGATTGAAGTCCTACAGGAGAAACTTGCTAAAAAATAATTTGGTAATCTCTGTGGGTCGAGTTTTGATTCAAATAAGCATAAAGAAAAGTCTCGCGACACTGAATATTGAAATGCTAAAACATCTTTCATATTCGATGAACGAGCTCCTGAACGCGTGTCTACTTTCTAGGTTGCGTCGCTTTGATGAAGCCATTATGAGCCAGTTCGAAGGGTGATTCTGCTTTGAAATATATCATTGGAAAATTCAGAATTTTCAAACGCTTCGTACAGATGCTATCACCGGAGCTATGGTAGCTCAGTCTAGCCCCCCAATCGGCAACAGGCTTAATGGGTACAATTTCTGCATAATGATGTAGCCCAGTGGCGTCTATAGTGGGGTAGGCAGTCATGTTGCAATCTACGTCCACATGATGTAAGGAGAGAATGATGACTGATTGCAATGGCCCTTCTCTGGTGTCATAACGTTGTCAATCTTGGATAGAAGTGGTTCTGAAACCCTCGACGACATCATTAAGGTTCTGACAGCTTCTCCGAACCTAGAAGCATTCCTAAAGCTCCCAGCCATTTAGAACAGCATTGGATGTGGATTAGAAAGATTTGCTCCAATTTATGAGCTATCCCAGCCAAAACGTTTAAAGAACGACACCTTGGTCGTTAAAATGGAAATTTCACTCTGTTAGCATTCCTAGACCTGGATCTGGAAAAGGTGATACGTAAGGTTCATTTTAGGGCATAAACTTTGACCTAAGTGCATGTAATTTCTTTTAACTTTTTAACAGATGTGCATTTCAAGGTCACATTAGATTAATTAATTCAGTTAAGGTCAAATCTTGCTATCTCAACGAATTTTCTGCATGCTGAATTTTGGAAAGAAACCCATGACAAAAAACGATTTATGTTTTATAAAACGAAGGTGTTCATTATAGGTCAGTCTTGGTAACAAAAAAAAGGACAACGCTTTATTGAATTTGCTTACTGTAGTACAATGATCGGTCGATCAAAACGTTTGTTTAAGAGCAAAGAGCTCTATAGAAATAATCTAGAAATGTTGCCACACGGCGGCTCACGTTCCGGGCTCCAGCCATGTTACCACGAGTGCAGGCAGACACTCAGCTGAACTGAGTATCAGCGTTCCCGTAGATTAAATGTATAAAACATTTACCAAGGTGTGTGTTTAAAGATGTAAAATAGTCAAGTAGTTCATTAAAATTAATGTGTCAGTTTTATAGGTGCTCATACGAATCGATGAGGAAGTATTTTGTACTCCAGCTCAGTTGCAGTAGCTGAATAGTCCTCACTTATACGGGATAGATTTAGTTTTGGAAATTTTTTATCCTGGTTATTAGTTAACAGCACATTGCTGAATATCAGTGTTTCATCAAACTTCGAATAAATAATTTCAAATATATTTTTCTGGATCATTTAATTAAACCATCTTAATTTTGATGAGGAGGCAGAGCAGGCGAGTGGGTAGGGCCCTGTCTTGTAATCTTGTGGTTCTGTGTTCAAGTCCTTCACCCTGTTACTCACTTTATATATTTGTTATCAGTTTCCCCGAGTTTAACTCCTTGGATCGCTTTTACTAAAGCCAACTTGGCCCCGTAGATCCTCTATGGGGGAGTAGCCAATTTATGTTAAATTTAATTGTGAATGAAATCTATTGAAAATAATATTTTTCTCCTTGTGGCATCCTCTCCCTTCAGTTTTCAAGGCTGGTTTTTAGTCGGTTGCCAAGAGCCTTTGGTAATTTTTCTGTTCACTCAGTCAAGTCCAGTTCTTTATCTTCAAAACCTTAATTTTTTGATAATGGTTCAAGTGAGGTCTTAAGCTACTACATCGAAAATAAGCATTCAAGCTTCGCCGATCCACAGCATCGTCACTCTAATGTCTTGTGCTGTAACTAGTATTCCAAATGTCACGCTTACTTACCACGCGACATAACCGTGCATGAATGCATATTCTTTCGATCGAGACCCATGTCTAACCTGTATTTGCAAAATTTCCATATGAATACAGTTGAGAGGAAAGTTCGTAGCTTGTTTACTTTGCTTTGGTATCCTTTTTATGAAGAAGGTATGCCGTGCGCGAGCTCTGAAATAGATAACATTTCATGTCAAAATGAAATAAGTACATCAGTCACTGACTCGTCCAAGGCCCGCGCGTCTCATGTCAACACGTGTCATATTCGCATGTCATCATGGATTGTTTCATTTCCTTATTGTGACCCTCAACTGCGCTGAAATAAGGTCAAGGTGTAATCCTCTCGTAGAAAAAGAGAAAAAGTCAAAAAGGCAATACAGAGGACGCTCCTATTGTGAAATGAAAAGAGCTGTCCACCGTTTCTCGGTTGGCTCAGTTGATTCTAGAGAGGGGGGTTTGTCAAGAGGTAAGAAAAGAGGAACAATTTTGGAATATCTGGCCGTGTTCAAATTATATAGTGTCCTATTGGATTGGTCCTGAACGAATCGGATCATCTGAATCTCTTCTTTGATTTGAAGTCGCGGGAGTCTTTGGGCGTAAATGTTAACTTTTTTCTGGAAGAATATATTGACCGAAAAACCTTTATAAAGGGAACTCTGTTAAACCGGACACTGAAAAGAAAGCTTCACGTATCCTCAGCCTGAGGACATAGGTTGTAACATAAGTTTCAGTGATACCCGAATTGAAGGATAGATCCTTCTGACGTTTTTATCATTACTTTTCCTCGTTTTTACTCCTTCTTAGCCTATGCGACTGGATTAGTCCAATTAAATCAAAGCAACCCACGTTTTGCATGTTCGTCTGACGTCATTGCTAAAGTAAATGAAAGATTTGTATTAAAAGTAAACAAAGCTAAAAAGAAAAATATTTTTTTTAAAAATCTAATTTCAAAATTTCCTTTAAATATGGGGAATAAGTAACCTGCTAGGTCTCTTTAAGAAGTCTCTGTCTTCTCAAAAGTACTGGACGATTACATGGATACTGCACGCGGTCAATTTTAGACATTATTATGTTAATTCTTTTGTCATCTGCTATTATGACCGCATACCAAGTAGTTGTAATCCTTCCTCTTGTCATGCTTCCATAATGAGTTGCGTTTGAAGCGAGTTCAGAAGTTGATCAGTTGACCAAAGCGAAAAACTTTGGGTCAGAGTTCACTTGAAAAATAAGAATCAAGCGTGTCGCGGAAAATTTGAAGGGGTGAGTGCAGAATACAAAATTGAGTTTTAGAACTTGCAGGAATCTGGATATTTCGATCAAACATTCATTCCTATTCATTGCTACTTAAATTTGTTTGGAGACTAACTTTTTACACTTATTTGGCGAAAACCGGCAGCTTTTGGATGCAAATAGCCGAAGAGCTCGTAAATTTGATTTGTTATTATGTATTTCCGGGCGAAATGGACAGAGAAAAAACTGGCACTTGCAAAACTGCGGGGTGAAATGCTCAGAGCAGTGGTCTCATTTGTAGCTTAAACTTTTGTTGTCCTGCCAACAATTGTTTTACAAATACTCGCCGCTTAGAAGTCAAATAATCTTTTGTTATTGTTGCCTGCGATAGCTACATGAAATCACTTAGCTACTTTTGCTGGCTGTATCGTTCGTAAATTAGTTATTTTATTTGACGATGTATTAAAAAAATCAATCATTAATGATATGTCAATTCGCAGAATCCAAAGTGATTAATTTTTAACGAGAGAACGAAAACTAAAGAAAAATGCGTGTTGGTTGTTTTCGCCGAACATGGCGGCTCACACTTTCTCAGGCCGTAAGGTTTATTTCGTTTTCTTTTGTTGGGTGTGATATGTACTCATAGAAAGAAGCAGCTGCAGAATATATTTTGAACTATTGTAAGCAATGTAACCGCTGTCGGCGATTGTTCGTCGATAAAGGAAGATATTTGAATGTAAATTAGATGTGACAGGTAAGTCGAAGCAGACTGCTTTAAAAAAAATATATATAATGTTGCGAAGTGGAATACTTCTCTTGATAAGTGAAGTAAGGTAATTTCGTCGCCGAGGGGCTCTGTTTAAACCAAGCGAAAGGTCATCATCTATTTAATTGTGCTAACTCGTTACTGATTTATATATTTTGGTTGGAAATTAGAGGTTGTATTCAAGAATCGGTTCTGTACAACGGTTATCTGATACAAATGCGACTTGTCAAAAAAAAAGCGTATTATTCTTTCGAAATTGATGCGTAGTCTGTAACGCTAATCGAATGGAATAACTGCGAGATATTTCCTCGCCATTTATAGCTGTACCTCTTCGTTTGCCTCAATTTCTTTCGTTTCGGTTTATTCATTGATTTACTTTCATTCGACTAAGCAGAGTACATTTTATCGCATGTTCTGATCTAAAACGATTTTCGAGGCCAGAGTAAAATTCAGAAGATTTTAGTTGTGGTTCTTACTCGAGAAAAACTAAATAGGCTGCATGTGTACTTTTTAAGTAACATGAGGTTGCGTGAAGGTCATTGACTTTGCGCGTGGATTACTCTCGCGCGTGTATCAGTCGTGCACATCTGGTCCAGGTAGCTTTTTTACCGAAAAAAAAACCAAAACACAAAACAAATAAATTTATCTGGAAATCGCAAATTTAATTAAAGAGATTGTAATGATTGCCGTATAAATTCCTCGCCAAACAAAATGTAATCAGGAAAAGTAGGATTGGATAATTTGAACCGAAGACATTTTGTTTACTTTGCAACGGAGAGTGTTAATGATTAATAATCAATTGTTTTAAATATATAGTAAGTGGGCCTTTTTTCACCGTTTGCCTTATATTATAGCTTCAAATAACGTCACAATATAGTCGTCCATTTAATTGCTTATCTTGTCGTATTGGTCTTCCCAGGAATTAACACAACGTCTATTTAAACGATGCTGCGTCCGTTGTCAGCTTGGTTTATTTTACTTCTGAGGATTACTAACGCCAAGTCAGGTAGGAATAAGTTTGAACTTATTGTCCAGTCTTATCTTAGTGTGATATGACTCTTAATGGCACCACTGTCGGATGCCGCTAATACTAGCTTCTGATTGGTTTATATTAAGTAGATATATTTTAAATTATAAGGCCTTATCTGATCAATTAGAGTAAGTATTGAAAAACGGTCTGCTGCCGCTAATATTCGTATCTGATTGGTTTACGTCACTTTGATTTAGTCAAATGCAATGACCTATCTAATTAATTGATCTGTCCAAGATCGATCTAGAAAAAGATATAGGATTGATTGAACAGGTGTGAAAAAATCTGACTTTGAACAGTTGCCTAGAGGAATCGAATGGAAATTAAATGCTCGAAAATAAAATCGCGCGTTCGTTCTGACGAAGGGCTAATGCTCGAAACTTCAGCTTTAGAACTCTACGTAACAAATTCAAATTATTAACACAGATAATAAAACCAAATTATCTTATAATACCCTCCACCAATGCAGCATAACAGTTTCTTTAGAAACTTCCCGCCTCTATTAATGTGGTCGTGTTGTGGCAGACTAAACACGAGGTGGTTGTTCCTTGTAAATGGTAAGACAAAGGTCATTTGCTTATTCACTTAATGCCACTGAGTTAAGGATCTTCTCTGTAGGCTTATGTGTAGCAAGAATTATTTGAAATTCTGTGCGTTTGCGTGATTTTTTTTTGAGGGGCAAAATCAGTAATTGGAGAATGCTCTCGGAGCAAGGACTTGAATCGAACAGCATGTGAATTCAGGTCTTTGAAGTCGAATGGGAGTGTAAGGTTCTCGATGACTGCGTCATCCTTACTTCCGGGATGGCGCTTCAATCATATTATTCAACGATTTCCAACTTCTTTGGCTGTAACTATTTCAGTACAGCATTAGTGAAACAATTTGGAGGCTTTAGCAAACTTCTCCTCTTCAACTTCTTCTAGGGGCGCCACCAGTCATAACTGATTTTCCATCAAGGGATTTGATTAAGCCTGAAGATGTTCGATCAGACTCTGGATTTCGTTTTCCATGCAAAGCAGTTGGATCCTTTCCTTTTAAGCACAAATGGAAACTGAACGGACAGGAAATTTCGATTGATCATCACTTTAACATCATGAAGGACGGGACTCTTACGGGAAGATATCTGGATGATACTCACAGCGGAATTTACCAGTGCATCGTGAAAAACAGATTCGGTGAGGATTTCAGCAGAAAGTTGAAAGTTCGTGTTACAGGTTTGTGGCATCTTTAAGAGTCTCGTTATTCTGAGTTCTGCACTCAAGCACTGTCCGTATTAAAAATCCCGGCATCTCTGTTTGATGGAAGTTTCTCGGTTTTGACTTGTCGTTGGACATCGTTAACTTTTCCCCGGCAATCTCGCGCCCAGGCCGTCATTTCGGGAATGGACTTGTAACCAGTGCATCACGGTAATTGAATATCCGGGAAATCGTACCCTGAGGCCGCATGATATTTATCTCACTTTGGGGCTGCGTTCCCGAATGTGGGCCTGCGCAGTGTAACACCATGTCCCCATGTATGGAGTTGTGTAAGTGCATCTTTGTGATATTCCCTGACTGTATCACTTTTAGGCCGCGTTTACGGCTGGAGACTTGTACATTTGCCTTTGAATCAATGCTTGTCACACCCTTGAATATCTCAAAGAAAGGTCGCGTCACCAATGATGGACTTATGTCAGTGTCATTGACTTTGCCCGAAATATGCTGAATAAAGCTTAAATTCTTGGGGACGGCCTTGCATCAGTGTATCACCTACTTCGAACAAGTAATCTTGATTTTAGGCGCCGTCCATTGGTGTGAACTTCAGTCAGTCAGAGTTTCTCTTTATTTTTCACTTTTTATCTCTCTCGACAAGTCAACCCAAGTACCGTTTAAATGATCAAATTCAAATTAAGCGTGAATCAAGGGGAGTGCCAACCATCAGTTGAAAGCATCCCCAAAGTCTGTTAACTATTCCAAGTAAACGAGAAAAGAAAGTCCTGGAATCATGCGTTATCTGCAGTAATGATGGCATTGTAGTTAATACTGATTTATTCTGATCAAATTTTCTCCATGTACATGTACGTTTATTCTTCCAGTCGCCGGCCAATTTCACTACGATAACGACAAGAACGCCCCTGTCACCCTTGGAAAACCTATTGAAATTCCTTGTCCAAACCACGACCCTAGTTTTGGTGTAAGCTACCGCTGGGGTTTTTATGACTCTTCCGACCCCAGCGCGTTCTATCCTCTTCCTGAGGACAACCGTACAGCAATGACGATGGATGGAACACTTGTGATTATGTTTGTGACGAAAGCAGACGTTAAGAAAGTGAATGGCATAAATGGAGTAGCTTGCGAGATGTCCACGAGTGACGAAGAAAGATACTCACATGTGGTGAAATTTCAACTTACTGGAAAAGGTATGAACTTTATGTGTTTAGCTCTTTTTTCTCCATACTGTTCTCTATACATTTCTTATGGTATTGACAAGGAGAAAGTGTTAACCAATCAAAGCCTCTTGAACTGGTGATCGTCTCCTTTATTCTTGTGATCTTATTGTTTTATTCAGTGGTGCTGCGGTAAGGAGAAATTAGAAGCCAATCGCTCTTTGAGGTTAAAGGTTTAAATTTCACTCTTAATTTAAATGGAAGAATCGGGTGAATTTTCCATCGGGAAAGGGGAGGGGAGAGAGAGAGAGAGGGGGGAGGGAGGGGTTACACCAGCTTACCGGCACTAAGTGTGCCACACCATTTTATCATAATTATAACATCACTTCTTATCTACAAAGGGTAACGTGGAATTCACTACAGACACCTTTCTTAGCTACACGTACACCCAGCTGGTTTCACCTGTATTGAAAACAAAAAAAGTAAAGAAAAAAAAACATATTAAATTGCCGTTCTTGAGGGTGTTTCTTGCAAACTGAGCGATCTTGTTCCTTTTTACCTTTGAGAAGCATTCGTTCAAGACATTTTTGTATTCACTAGTAAGGTTCGTCAGTTCTTACGTGGTTGAGAGTTTACAGAGTTGCTATAGAATCTTAGCAACTGCGTCAATTCCATGTACCTGCCCCTTACTTTTTAATATTTCAATTGCCATTGATATTCTCTTTGATTAAGAATAGTCAGCTTAACTGTCCCCTTCAGTATTTCTTTGAAAGCCAATAAACCAGAGCTACGCCCAAAAGGATCAAAGAAGCATGTCAATGGTTGACCCTCTGTTTCTTGAATTTCACTGCTTAATGTTTAATTAATTTTTCTTTTGTATTATTTTTTTGTTGTTATTTTTGTTGTTGTTCCTAGAATCAACCGAAAAGATTCCACCAGTTATTTATTTTGCACCGAAGCCCCTTGAAGAAGCCAGAGAAGGATATCCGAAGAAACTTTATTGTTTGGCTGTAGCAAAGTAAGAACATGTCACCAGATTAATTTTTGTATAAGTAATAATTAATGTATTTTACCAGTTATTAACTTTATCGTCTGCATAAATGTTTATTGCACACTCCAAAGAAGGAAAAAATCGATTTCATCGACCAATATTCAAGTTAAACACTTTTGTTGCTATACCGTCGGGATTGAAAACATTTTTTTCAGGCTCTCTGTTCTCGTCGTGAAGTGTCTTATCATGGAGGGATTTCTGAAGAAAGCGAGATAACTCGAATCTTAGTCAACCGCTCAAACATAATAATGAAAATGTAAAGTAAATATCATCCAATTTTGAATTATTTCAGTGACCAACTCTTCTAAACTTCTGCCCGTACATAAACTTGACAAAATTATGTAAAAAAAGGATTATAAAAATTCTTCCTTGAGGAAGTAAACCAACGATCGTTTCTTAACAATGACAAAGCATGCGGATGCTGTGGTCTCCGCAGCTCCTCTTCGACTATGATCGGACTATGAGTTTGCTATTTCGAGTTGTCTTGTCGTTTTAACTAGCACTAATATCAGCATTAGTCAACAGAAATTGCTTGTATTTTGTGTTTGTCTGTTCTTGCTAATTTGTGCGCTTAAAACATGAGATAGATGCAGAATGGCTGCGTCATCAAAAGATTGAAATTGTATTTGCAGACGTTTCGTAAGCATTGGAGGAGAAGGCGTAACGTATGCCTAATATTGAAGACAACGATTAATCAACATCTATTTTGTTATAGCAAATCAAAGTCATCATCTATTCTGCCGGGAGTCGATCATTTGCCGCGCAAAGTGACAAACGAGCGTCGCTTCGGAATCAGCTGATACAGGGAGATTGCGCGGCGCATATCGTTATATTCTCGGGTAGCGTTACCACTTGCTTTTCTTCTATCTCAAGGCCACCACCCAAAATCATATGGTGGAAAGATGGCAAAAAGATTTACGACGACGACAATGAGTATCATCTTCCGAGAGAACATTTCAACAGGCTTTTGTTCATCGACGAAGTTTCTAAGGAACATCAGGGGAATTATACATGTACAGCGGTTTCCGCGTCTGAGATGGAGCGTGTGTCGGCCTCCACCTACCTCACAGTGAAAGGTCTGTTTTGAAGTCGTTTGTTGCTATTAATGAGAGGCAAACCTGTTCCATTTTCAGATATATTATCTGAGTCAATAAAACCCATGAACTAAACAATTCTTAGAAAACGAGCCCAATCACAAGTTTAAATATCAGGCACGTCTCCAAGATTTTGATGAATAGTATAACTAAAACCTCTGCCTGGTAAACGTCTAGCTACACAGGAATAACACCTACGGCAAACGTCGGGCTAACGTAAATGATCAGTTTATAACAAGTTTTCTTTGCGTTCAATTTTTACCCAGCGACTGTTGATTTTGGGGTCATTCACAAAACACTTTATCAATCCTGCTATAGGATTTACGGAGTAACTACGATGGAAGTTACGTGACCCGACCCAAACCTCACTCTGCCGCTACTATCGCGCTGTTTACTATTTCGCTTCGTTTACCTATTTGAAAGTCTGGAACAGGTTAGAATCACCTCTGAATAGGCAAATTTTTGTAAGTCCACTCCTTCTTCTCGTTAATGAGAAGTAGTGGTAACAACTGTTTTCATCGTTGTTTAGAATAAATTGCTTAAATAAATTAAGTATTTTCTTTCATTTCTTTACTTATTTTCTTAATTCCAATTGCAGCCTCTCCCGAATGGAAAGTCAGATTTCATCGGAAAATCCAAGTACAGAGATCAAAAAACTTATCCGTGATGTTGATCGCAGATGGTGTCCCAAGTCCTAGCTATCGATGGTTCAGAAATGGACAAGAAATTAACGCTTCAGAGTAAGGGAAATGACTTCAAAATTTTTCCTTGATGATTGACTGCATTTGATATGTTTAAACCAGTTTTATTTTTGTTCTCATATCTGAGCAGCTCTCGGGTGAAAATAGAGAAGAACAAATTACATCTGATTCACGTGGAGAGCTGGCACAACGCTGTGTTTCAGTGTGTTGCAGAGAATGATCAAGGAATGAATGTGTCGTCTGTTTGGGTTGAAGTTGAGGGTAAGTATAACACTCTTCTCCTAGTTTCTTCCGTGTTGTAGTCTTGAAACACACGTTGATAGACGCGCTTCATCAACTTTCTATTGCGTTATTCAACAAATAAAGGAGCCTCGAGTGTGCTCTTTTCTGTTGTAAAGCACACAGGAAGCTGCTAGAGAATGAAATAAGAGTAACAGAAACACAAGACTTATGAGGGAAAAATTTATTTCTTTTTTTTTTTAAATTTCATCAGACTCGCCAACCAGCCTTGCCCCAAGTTCAAGACGCGGATTCTTCTCAGATAATGCATTGTGGATCATTTTAACTGCTGTCCTAGGAGTACTTTTAATTGTGGCAATTATTATTATCATATTTTTTATAAACGAAGAAAAGCGAGAGGAAATGAAGGTGGGTTGTTCTTTAAGTAAAACATTTTTAAGTTAAATTTCTAAGGCTGATTCATGCCAAATTTCAAAACGTTTTGAGTTGATGAAGTTTCTTTTTCAAAGACATCTGTGGCAAGGCCTATATATTTAAGGGAGACGAAGGAATCTTTGATTTACTGTATAACATTTGACTAAGTATGCTCAACAATTGCTATCTGGTATGACACATAATTATTTTGTCATCTTTAAGAGAGATCAGATGCTACGGACGAAACTCCACAATACCTGGATGTACGTCAAAATAACTCATCCGTACCTCGGACGAATCCGACAGAAGTTGCGGGAGGAAAAGGAGCAAGAAGACGTGCTACTCTCCCTCCCCTCCCCCAGTATCAAGCCCTTGACCCAACAACTGCGGCAATACCAAGTTATGAACCAATAGACGCTGAGCAGGACCTCAATGATAGTGGGTTATATGAGAAGTTGGATTTTAGAACCATGAAAAATTGCCATGAGTATGATAATCCTGGGCGGCCTCTTCCTGAATATCTCGAGCTTGTAAATGACACGCAGGTGCCAACTGGAAGTATTGCGTCAAATGCACAAACGAAGGGACGTGGGAAAGATTATTATGTACCAATGGAAAATGGCGGGTCCAATAATGTTTTAAATCATTCTACGCCACATGATTACGTCCCGATGGATAACGAAATGCGCAGCAATGCCTTTAATAACTCTACGCCACAGGATTACATTCCAATGGATGCATCGAATACTTTGCCTGTGACGAGAAGATCTGACGGATCAGCTGCTGAAACAAGTGGCCCAACTTCGTCAGACTATTACCAAACCATGGCGAAGAAGGGCGGCTTAAGCGAGCAGGAAAGTCCACAGACCTCTCCCCTAGGGGAGTATTATTCACCAATGGCAGAAAATACTCTTAGTGGAGCAGCAGGTAGCGGAAATACCAAGGATGAAGTCGTGTCCAGCAAACTGTGAGGATTTGCGTTTCAGATGAACTCATTCCGAGAAATGCTTCTAAACATTTTCGCAAATTAAACTTTATGTCATTCAACCTGTTGAAGAAGAATCCGTTGCAGAGATTTCCTTGTAAAAGATCATACCATTAAGCTCGTTACTGACGTCATTTAGGGAACAGAATTGACAAGGTTGCAATCTTTATTCATTAAGAACGAAATTATATCTCCGCAGAGAATATGTCATTGCACGAAGATGTATGAACTTACACATTTCAGACTGCAACCTACATTTTGTTTTCATAAGCTATATAAGCTATACAATCTTCACAGTAAAGCATGCCTTTTTTATGTGAACCGCAAAAAGATTAGAAGGCTTTTTCAGTTTCTAAAATATCGATCACGAAAGTCATACGCAGAGTAAAAAAAAAAAAAAAAAAAAAGAAAAAAATAAAAACAAAAATTTTGGTAACAATAATATCTAGTCAACAACATCGAGGAATAATGTAATCGCTACTCCTAAATATTTCATTTTTGAGCATTTATCACAGCTTGTTCCATTTTTTAATACTATCAACAATTTTAGCATCTAATTTTACATGTTAACATACGTTTGATAAGTTTTATTATATTTGATTACAGTGCGTTGTGAGCTTGTTTGCTATGCAATAACTACTGTGGGGCTTTTTACCTACTTGTTAACCCTTAAATCCTTAAGAATCATCAGCATCTAATTTCTTCTTACAAGATCACCCCTGAATCACTCGTTAAAGTCACGAGAATCAAAGAAATGTTCAACAATTAAAGAAGCTCTTGATTGTCTAATAAATTCTCCTTGTCGGCACCTAAAGAAATGTATCGAGAACAGTATGGAGAATATGCATACTGATGTAAGGCTGTAAAGGGTTAATTAAGAGGGCCACAAGTTTATTGGTCGGTTCACTATTAGTTGTTACCCTCTATAAATAAAGTTTGTTTGATTGACCTATTTCGCCCAATAGGACAAAAAACTCAATAACCCTTAAGAGTCATTAGCGTCTTATTTCTCCTTACAATATCACCACTGAATCACTCATTAAAGTCACAAGAATAAAAGAAATGATCACCAACTCAAGACACACTTGGCTGCTAGTCAAATTCTCCGTGTCAGCACCTTAGTAAATGTACAGAGAACAGTACGGAGAATGTAAATACGGATGTTATGGTGTAAAGGGTTAAGGAATATGGCTATATCATTACTAATGATACTCTTAAAGGAAATAACAAAGGTTAAGGAAAGTCAATTCCTTGGCTCAGTTTTATCTCGGTGTTGAAAATTTCGTTACTTCATTAAAAGGTAAGGTCCTCAATCAGGCTTCTTGAGATTAGATGAAACGATCTTAGCCTAACAGTCGTCGTTGAATCTCGTACATCATTTGAGCCAGTTCTTCTGGGTCAGGTAACTGGTGTATCGCCCTCTTTCCGAAATACCTGCCACTAGGCCTTTCCAACTGTCTCTCAGCTTGCTGTAAAATCAGCAGGGTGTCATCTGTCAAAACAAAAGCGGCATTTAATACAGTTATGGGCGCTGGATTTCAAATTCGAGAAGATCCTTTATTCAGATGCACCCCTTGGTTACACACTGATTAGCTTTTCCCAGGCAGTCAGCAAAAGAAGAGAAAAAACCTGCAGGTTATCTCTCACTAGCCATATTTTTGTTTTTCTCCATTAACCGAGAACCTGGCCATCCACTAACTGTTTCGTTTCATCAAAATCAATTTTTTTTGGTCTTTCTCTTTTTTTAAATTTTTTCTGCTACCATTTCTCCTTAACTCTAGAACTCGGAACTATGTTATACATTTTCAACTTTTAGAATGAGCTGCTCTAATATTCTTCTACGATGCAATGTTCGTTATTTTTGCTAAATGGAATGTTAGTCTGATTCGAGTAAACACATCACTTTGAGGACTTGGGTCGGAGGAGGTTTTGAAAAACAACGGATTGGACTTATGGCCAATAAAGATGAATCATTTTCTACCTTAGAGCTTGGTTTTTGGATTTTGATTCAAAATATTTCACTTACTTCGGATATTTTCAAAAGCGTCGTTAGTTAGTTCTCCTTGGATAAGTCCTTGGAGCTAATGAAGAACAAAGTAATAATCATTAGGAGCTTATTCACTCACGAGTTTTGCAAGGCTCAAACTAGTCCCAAAGTTTGAAGAGATCAATAAGTCTCCATATGTAACTGCTGGGATTTTTTTCGAGTCATAGCCAAGAGTTTATTTTCCTGGAGACGCAACATGGTATATTTTGCAGAAGCGTCGGGAATAAACGAAGAATTCTGAAGAGTTCTGCAGGCGATGCGTAGAGTTCTGACACAACCTCCTCAAAGATACTCTATTCGCATACGCTGTGGAAAATTAAGATACCTCTCTTTTATGGTTAGAGAATGCTGTTTACTGAGGGTATCATGAATCGAAAGCTTTTTTTAGCAATTTTTTATCTGTAAGGCGTGAGAAATTGGTCGGCAAGCGTTAGCTTGCGGGTGATCGTACTTTTCGATTTAAAATCGTGGGAGTTGATTGGGGTACCAGTGCGCGAAAATAAATTCGTATGAGAAAAGAGACATATACTTACCCTCACGATAATTCGACCAAGAGATACGAGTAAATCAACAAGAGCTCTGTTAACAAGAATATGATCTTGTGTAAAACTTTAATGTAAAATGTCAATCAAAGGATCTACTGATTTGCCAGGTCTGACATGATGTTGGTCTGATATAAACGTATCAGCCTTAAGATATCTGTTTATATGATAAATCTAAATAAGTGTTTTGCTATGTATGAAACAAACATTAATGTCAACCGAAACTTTTCTAAAACAGGTGCAGCATAGTTCTTTATTTTAAATACGATTATTTAAGGCAGACTCGAACTAAAAGCCAAGTTGTTTGACATGAAGTAGTGAAATTTGGAAACTTACCTTGGAACTTCCGTTGGTAATATCACAAGTGTGGTATTTGAAGGTGGTTGTACTGTGTTTGGCGAGGTTACGTTGTTAAAAGGAGTAAAAGATGTAGGCTGTGGCACTGAAAAACGAAATTTTAACTGTCATTGTTATCGTTGTATGGGCATGTTTTACATCAAAAACGTAATTTATGTTCTCTGTTTTACATCTAAAAAATATCATGTTACTAGAATGGACATCCACAGGAGTTCGCCTAGCAGAAATTACCCACACATTTAAGACAAATAACAAAAGACCAACTTGGAACCTCAAGTTACCATAGATGCAGGATCAGTTTTGCAAACTAGAAATCAGACGATTTGTGCAACTTAAGGCGATAAGAATTGCTAGTCAGCGTGATCGTAAAGCAATCAATTGTCTCTAAAATTGCTTAGTTTTTTCCTGTCAATCTTTTCAAATTATTATTCATTGTCATCGTTTTATACTGCTTGCGTTTTACCTAATCCTGCAATTGTGTAATCCCGAAAGGACAGACAATGTTAGCCATGAAATACTAAGGTTAGTAAACGATTAGGGGATCAACACGTACACGCACAAGATGCTTTATATATATATAGTCATGGTGTAACTGCTCCAAGAATTTATGGTTCGCTCACCGAATATTATGACGTAGCGAGCCAAGAAACCAAGTCCTGTGACCGATCCATCAGTTGTTAATCTGATACTGAGTACCCGACTTCTGTCGCCTCTTACTGTGATGTTGAATCCGTTCCTAGAACCACTCAATCTTGCTAACTGCCCGGTGCGGACTGTCAGCTCAACAAAATCACAGCTTCCGTAGAAAAGAAAGAAAAGGAAACCATTAGACCGCATTTACAACACCAGAGTTTAATTTAAAATTTTTTCCCGTATTTATCTTGCAATGCCTTAGATAGACAAGTGCCATTGTAAATGGAGCCAAAAAATTTAATGTCTGTTAAATGACAATGACACTTGTCAAGGAAGTACTAAAAGATTTTTTGCAAATTCTAACCATGATCAACAAGCACTCATTTTCAAGTATCTTCAGTAACTTCTGGGGATAAAACGAGTGAGTTTTTTTTTCCTGACAAGTGCACTTTCCAAGAATGCAAATGATCAAGTCGAAATTCATTATAGCTTGGGGTCTAGTTGGTTAAGAGGTTCGTGCAAGATTTCTTGAGCGTATCATAGCAAGACCAAAGCAATCCGACCTTACTTTTAACAAACTTTAAGTTGCTCTTCTGGTACAATTATACTCATGTTTCCTTCATGTACGTACCACCGCTCTGTGGTAAATCTTTCAAACTGTAGACTCAAAACGCCGTCGGTAGGGATAGGAAGAGTCCATAGGCAGTTCAAATTGTTAGTGTAGGAAAATGGATATCCAGGAGTTGCAAATGTTCCACTTGTCATGTTTAATATTCCTCCACATCCTGCCAGAAAAAAAAAAATCATGAAAGGAACGTCGAACATGCCAGCCTTTGAACGAGGTAAACAATGATGAAAACAATTAGTGGGGCGGTGTTCTATTCCACTTTTCTTGCGTCCTCTACACCAAGAAGGAGCCCAAAGTGGTTAACCAGTAGCTTTATCTTTAAAGGTCGGTACGCTGTTAGCCAACAAATGATAAGAAAGGGAAAATTTTTAATTGAAGGGGCTTTTATCTCGATATAACACGAAATTCCCTTCATCAATCTGCAAGGATAGCCAAATGTGTAGCTACTTAATGGGTAAAGCTGAGAATTTTTTTTGTGTCAGCATTGGACTCATTTTAACAGCTTCTAGAGTTGTTCGATTTATGCAACATTAGGAAGGGAAGGATTGCGGAGTAGTGAACGAACTCGCCTCCTGGCGCTTCAGCGCGGCTGAGATTGATCCTTGAGTGCATTTGATGTATTGGACTGAATTATATCAGAAAAGTAAATAGGTACCATAATTTTAGCCAGTTCGAGAACGTTTGCGTACCTGTAAAGGGTGGCTTTGTAGACGATGTCGCATTCATGCCACCAAAAGCTGGAGATGGTGATGGCTGGAGTGTCGCGGATGGAAAACCTCAAGATAAAGAAAAGCACACTTTTAGGCTGTGATATTAAGTGCGATCATCTCTAGCGACGTTGAAAGCTGATTATCAGTGGGCATGGTAACCTTGTTGTACCATTCCGTTCTGCTTTCATATCGCTATCATACAGCTCTCTCAGCTCATACAACGGTGGCAGTTACTTACCAGATGGACTTGTCACTGTGGGTGTAATGACAGGTATTAGAAGAACGTTTCTGAAACCTCTGGATCCGCCACCATGGAATGTCAATAGGCCTGACTGGGCGTCATTCGTTATATGGTATGCCCATATAAGGAAAATCGGTGCTCCTTGCTGCAGAGGATCAAATTATTACATACAAGTGAAACTAGATGTATTTTCCATCATTCGATCTGCTTCATAACATAGCTAGTAACTTTGTCTAATCAAATTCAATTGCGTGAGCGTGCTTCATATTCCCATTGTGCACGCTCATAACGTCATCAAACAATCGGGTTGAAAATGTTATAAAACAATTAGTTAAGTCATAAGTCAGCTGTGCGTTCATCGAGATATGAGGCACGTGGGAAGTTTGGAGAGCACGAAAGATGCGCAAGAGTTGCTCGAGCCTTAAACCAATTGTTAAGTATTGTGATGTCAGGTGATGACGAATTTTTCTCATGGTAGGATTTCTGGTCTTAAACTATCTCTTTTCTGATTAGCCGAAAGCATTCAGTGAATTTTCGAGTTCAGCGCCAAGGACGTCAGCTAACTGCAGACACTCAAGGTCAAGGGTAATCATGTCATGTGTGACCGGGGTGCATGATTTCTAAGGGTAATCATGTCAAGTTCGCGTGCTTTGTGTTGCTTGCTGATTCGCATATATTTTTACACGTTTAGAAATAAATTGTCAGTTCCATTTACTGTCGGGGCCATTTGTTTTCGTTCAATACATGATAAAACAATTTTTATATTCTCACTAGGGGTTATGGGCTGAAGCTGAAGGCTGAGCTGATAACCCCTACCTCGACCTTGATAATTCTGGACATCACAAAAAGCGAATCTAATAATTGTTTAACATATGCAGGTGACAAGCTCATTATTTTACCTGTATGCGGACGTCACCTATTGGATCTCTAGTGTCTCTCCTGCGATACAACTGCAATGTTGTTTTTCCATTTTCTTCTTTGGCGTAAGTTAATGCCCAGTCTTGCTGACTGTCAACTTGAGGTTGTGCTAGGCCAACTGTGAGATAATCCTTTTTCAACCAAAGTAAAACACGATTATATTTACTTGTATATAAGTTAGTCAAATAAGTATCATTTTGGTAATATCAGTATATGGGATGAAATAGTCGTTTACCCCATTATAAACCTCTAAGAGTGACTGGCATCTAATTTCTTCTAATAATATCACTCCTAAATCAAACGTAAGAAGTTCTTTTTTGTTCAACAAGTTCTCTGTGTCAGTACCTTAGGAAATGCGTAAAGAAAATCATGGAGAACATCCGTAGTGATGTTATTGTGTAGAGGTTAACCTTTTTCCTCCCATGAGTGACTAAGAGAGAATTTCTCCTAACAATAATCAACACAACATCAAGCATAGAAGTGATGAGAATAAAGTAAAATATCAGTTAGGGAATTATTGGTTGATCCAATACCAAATTCTCCAAATTGACATCATAAGAATTGTATGGCAGACAGTAAGGAGAATTATTAAAGAAATCTTGGGAGTTAAAGTGTTAAATCGTGATTATCGTGCAGTTTTGTGAGGTGATCTCAATTTTAAATTTTTGATTTTCTTGGAAATATCATCACTAAATATAATTTTCTGTTGTATTCCATCACCCATTTCTCCTTGTCTTTTCAGCCGTTCATTGTATAATGAAATCAGAAATTTCAGTCGATATTTTTCGTCGTTTCATAGCTTTCTGTTGAAATATATCTCGCTTCTGGGCTTAATCAAAAAACTACACTTTTTTGTTCGGCTTGGGAATTATAAAAACAAAAAAAAACTTGCTCAGCAGAGGAAGGACTTGAGTTCAAATTTAAGAATTTCGTTTTACCTGCAAATAAGCCAATCCATTTAAAACTCCACCAACCGCCACATCATATCCCTGCATGCCCGTCGGAGCACGACGGGCAACACCAAACCCAACCCAACCGGTTGCCATGACATCGATCATAAAGTGTAATCTGTCTGTCTCACTGTTGTAAATCCAGGATACATTATAGTTTCCATTGTTAAAAGAAAGAAAGTTTGGGAAATGCACCGGTGGAAGCTTTGCGGATGGTATCGCTGACGATGAAGCTGTGGCGCTTTTTGATGGTGTTGCTGGGGTTATCCTCGATGTTGCGTTTGACTGCGGCTGTTCTGTTGATACTGTTGAAATTGTCGATGATGGGTGTATTTGTTCCTCTTTTGTTGTTGTTGATGAGGATCTTTTTGTTGTTGTTGGTGCTGCTGTTGCTGATGTTTCTAGTGGCGTTAATCTTGATCTTGGTTTTGTTGCTGATGTTCTTGGTGTTGGCGTTTGACTTGTTGCAGTTGTTGTCCGCAATTTCTCCTCTTGTTGTTAAAGGTACTGCTGAATAATGTGACGAGGTTAAGATGTTAGCATTGTTAGTATTGCAAAATGAACCGACGAAATCAGATTTCCATCGTCAAATCTGTTTACATAATGCCAATTGACCCATGCCCAATCTCTAAACAGTCTCTCCTTCCACTGACAATATCTCTCTCGTCATCAGGAGGGTTAAATAACTAATTTGAGTCTGGAAAGTGCAACAGAAATCACATATTCATTTCTTTCCTCAGTGCAAAGCTAAGGACATAAATCCCTCGACTTAATACCCAATTGCTAATCTTCTGGTACCTGCTTAATAACGGCATTTCCTCGATGTTTTATCAAAATAATCCCTCATAGATGATAAGTTTGTGAATTCCATTACTTGTTTGTTGGACAAGTTATTGAAATGGTTAGCAAAAATGAATTAATCAGCCCTACTAAAAGTGAAAGGGTCGATGGGTTTACCGCCAAACAGTTAAGCTCTGAGACAACAAAAAAACTGTTTTGATTATTCTCAGCTACTGAGAACAGAGCTACAGTAAAGCGCTTAATATTTATTCACAATTAAATCACTTTTTCGCTTTGTGTAGTGTTTTTTTGAATAAATTGAGGTGTTTAGTGTAGTAAAGATGCCGAAATATATTTTGATTACCTTACACGTGAAACAAATGTATTCCATTTTGATGACGATTGAGAAGTCTTTAATCCATCAAAATCATTTTATATTGTTAATGCCTTGTCAAGTGCAAAATAATTTTATTACAGTACTCGCGTCATTTGATTGTTAACTATATTATGAAACCTTTCCTGTAGCAGCTAACATTTTCCCAATCCGATGACGTACTTCTGTTACTAAGACATAGCAAACTCGTTAATGTCGTCAACGATTACATTTAAAAAGTTTGACAGCTACATAATGAAAGATTCGAAGTGCCTTAATCTATGAGCAGTTTCTATAAATCGTGGGAGCCCAATCAATAAATGTATACGTGTGCGAAAATTCGTACAGAAAAGTGTGAAAGTCATACAGACAGTATCTTGTAATTGCAGAAACAGTAGTTAAGAGTCAGTATCGTAAGAGCTAGTACCAGCCAAGAACTGGAACACAATTGTTTAACCACACTGCAGTTGATAAATTTTAGAAAATTAGAGAATTGACATATGCACACTGAAGTAGATTTACCGTAAAATAATAAAATGAAAAAATAATGATATCATATGCCACGAATTAAGTTTATTGAAATAATCCGGCATGACTTTTTGATGACGTACTTTAGGCCCGGGCGGCGGCTTTGAGTATTTAGGTATCCAGGGTCTTTGTTACCCAGGTGCACGACATTTTCTGTCTCACAATGAGGCTATAAATTATTTTGTTCGTCTTTAATTTTTGACATTAGGTATACAGGCAAGCGTCAAACCTGAACCTTTTTTTTGCAATTTTAAGTAAACAATATTTCGTGTTGCCCAATTTAAGAATACACTGATATTTCATGAGGGGAAAATTGGGTCAGTATTGCAAAATTCTTTTATGCCGCCTGGTCAAGAGTGGTAAATGAAAAAAATTGTGAAAGTGATGAAATTGGGAATATTTTTTAGGGTATCAATAACCCCGATGTGTTGTTAGAAGCAATTTCCCTCCAAGTTTTTGCGCGAAAGACCGAAGGGTTGATTTATGTACGCTAACATTGGCATTTTAAAAGCACCTTATAATCTTGAAAAATCTCCTATTTGTGTCTCATACGATGAGGAGTGGTGGCGGTGGTTTTGCTCAATTTTTGTTAGCTTAGAGTGATTTAAATTGATTGTGTGGTCCGACTGTCCAGATGATTGTTTTCTATGGAAGGAACAGATGTGTTAACAACCTATGCGGAAGTCATCATTAGAGTTAACTCCCACTCAAGTTTTGGAGACTCCAGTCAATTCAACCTCGACCGTTAACAATATTTAACAACTGCTTTCGTGCAGAATATCACAATGTTCAAGAATTAGATCCTCCTTGGGTAAATAATTTACAATTTTTTTTTAAAATTCAACTTACCAATTTCGCAGCACCCTCCCAGAAAACCATGCGGGCAGAGGCAACCGTTTCTCGTAGGTATTCCCGAATTCTGACAGTCTCTCTTGCAAAATTGCATTTCTGATTGATGGAAAAGGCATGTACCTCCACAAGTTGCTGGCCATATGATTCTTCTTGTTCTATTTCGAGTTCCACTTGCTCCGCACGGACACGAACTCCACTGCGACCAGGGGCTGAGTTGACAATTACGAGGTCTGCAAGGGGTAGGAGTGCGCCTTCTTCTTCGCCTTAACCAAGCCTCGTTGCCTCCAACAAACAAAGCCAGCGCGAAGATAATGGCAACGAATTTCATCGTTTTTCTTAGTCTTCAAAGTAGCAATACCGTCAGATTATTTGCAACAAGGTAGTTGAACAAAATGGTTTGTCACAGAAGTTAGTTACAGCCCTTTACACTCCAGGGATCTCTTTATATAGACATGTTACAAGCATGACGTGGTACGCGGCCATTAAATCGTGGCAACCGTAGGTAAACTTGAACGAGGAAGTTAATATTGGGCGGATTCGGTTGAACTTGACAAATGTTATCCAAGCTCTTGAAAAAAAGGTAACAAAAATTATTCATGGTGCCGCACGAAGTAAATAACAAGCCATGTTGAAGTTCAGGCAAAAAAATTATTCTACAGCGTGGTTCTGCCATGACTGAAAAGAGAAATTCTTACGAGAAATTTGTGGAAAGATGTGATGTATACCTAATATAATGCAATAATGTAGCGGAAATGACACTGCATTCTTCTGAGACCCTTTTGGCTGATTAATTGCTTAATTTTTTATATTGAGATTTCAGTACTTTAATCCCAACAAAGCAGTGCAATCAAATTTAGGTGTAAATCGAAAGATTACATTCGTCCAGTGTCGCTGTAAGAGACTATCGCAAATATTGATCAAAGGAACATAATGATAGATTTCCTCGTCGCTGTAGAAGTTGTTATGTATCACACAATGCTTTGGGTAACTGTACTTCTAAGGGGACAGAACTGCTAAGCAATCCCTCTTTGATGGGACTTCTGCCTTATCTTAATCCTTTAACTCCTCAGAGTGACCAATTTCTAATTTCTTTCCATAGCATCGTCCTTAAATCAAATGTAAAAGTCATGAAAAATAATAAAAATGATCACCAATTTAAGAAGCTCCTGATTGTAAAACAAATTCTCCTTCTCAGCACCGGAAGAAATGTAGAGAGATCAGTTTGGAGAGTATAAATACTAATTTTTTGGGATTTAAATGGTTAATGAAAAAAATTTGGGCAAATGACACGTTTAAGTGTAGAAAATTCACTGCAGTCGTGAATGCTTTAAACTTTTTTCTCTTTTTCATCGTTTCTCTGAGAACTATAACACAAGGCACAATAAAATATCCCAATAAACGGAATCATTTTCGGTATATTGACAAAAATAAATTGATTTTTGGTCCTGCGTGGTATTTACTCAAACATTTTCTCGCTCTAGTATCTATAAAATTGGCGTATATCGAACTTCACTTCGGTGAATAATTGTTAACTACGCGTGATTGCCACTGTAATAGTTTAACTGCGCATCTGCAGCCAAAACCGGACGGATGTTTAATGAAAATAGGAAGACCTTTGGTTAACTGTTAGGGATTAAACGAAAATATTAGAAGCTTGCGGTACAATTTACTCCTCGTGTTATATTTGTGGAGGAAAAAGTTGTTTAACAATATCAGATGAAAAAGGAGACACGCAAAATGAAGTACGAGGCAGCAGACTGACTTTTTTATCCTGGAAAATTGCATGGTTAGCACGTAGAGTTAAGCGTAATTGATCATGGAGATTGTAAATGATTGTATTCGTTGAAGCAGTGATGTTAATATTCTATTATTTTCCCTGTCACAATGGGATAAAACATTAATTTGAATCCAGACAGTTCAGAAGATAACTGCATCTTTAAACTCCGAGGAAGAAAACATACTCCAGTGAAAAGTTGTAGCCAAAGCCTTTTTAAAATGGTGCTTGAAAGCTAGTAGCACTCGTGAATCATTTCCGAGTTTAACGGTACAAGTCAAAAGACTAATTTAAGGGCTATAATATATAGCTTTGTTAAAACAAAATATCTTATCCAAAATTCAACAAAAATCAAATGCGAAGGGCACTTCATGGAAATTCGGATTCGAAAAATTTGAAGCTGTAGGTACCGAATTATTGTTCTTGATTCAAAATTAAAGTTATGCTGTAAGTATAAAAAATGAAAGTGTGGAACTCTGTTCCTTTATTGAAACCGCGATAACAGTTCCTAATATACTTAATCTATTTCCGTGAATTGTTCCAGCTGATATCATTATGAAATATTTGTGTTCACTTGTGATTATTAAGTGATGGTTTATATCATTTTAACAAACGTGCACTTCGTTTCCGAACGACGGCACGTAGCTGACGAATTAAGAATTGAGGCACCACTAGCATGTCTTTAAGGCGTCATTTTCTTTTATTCTGCCTTTTTTCGAGCAAACTGTATCCCGCGCGGCTCTCCTCATACTTGCCTTCTACATTAACTTGTCCGGAACGTTTTTGGCCCAACTCTCTATGTTCTATCGCGCCTCAAAAACTTAAAATAATTTGCGCTGAATAGGATTATTTTACAAATTATGCATCACTGAGTTTGATCGAGAAGGCTCTTGAAAACCCTCAACCATTCATGACATCTTTCAACTCTCTTTCAATCAAGTATTCCTTTTCACTTTTCAATTCTTGTCATTTCTGTTGTATCCGAGTAATAATGACAACTGCACGAAAAGCGAAACACAACTTCATTTATTTCTACCTTCTAGTTGCATATGCGCATATCAACTCAATGACGAAACAAAACCTCATTACATAACAATTTCAAAATGCCCCCTCTTTTTATCATTCTTATTGTGTTTGTAGTTTTGGTAAGGCCTCCCTCACATGTTATTTTGTTTTGTAGAACTTACAATTCTTTTTATCTTTTTTTTTCTTAAATTGGTATAGTTTTCCATATGAAAAGCCTATTATCCCGGCTCACTTCATCGAATAAACTGAGCAATTATATTTTTTTCTTGGTTCCATATGAAAACATTCCGAATAAAGGAAAGTTCATTCAGGAAAGTTCTCAGTTAAACTGGAACTCGATTTCCGCCAATTTATTAAGGAAAATCAACAAGTTAAGAGTCGACACATGAAAACTTACAATGGTTCATTAAATGAGTCAAAAGAACACAGTGAATCTTCCACTGTTCGATAAAAAGTTCCACTATGAGTGACTTCAAAATGAGCGTTCCATCGTCTCATAGTCGATAGAAAACCAGCTTTTTTAAGGCTTGCAAAGTTATTCAGAGAGATGCAACTTCAAGCCAACAATTTTTGGTGAATTGTGTTCAGTAGTTCCAGCAGTTCTCGTGTATCTGGAAATTCCCGTATGTCTCGCTTGGCCATCTGCCTGTTATTAGCCGGGGATGTTGTTGGGCCGGCTAATGAGTTCTCAATTTGCTTCAAAATGTCTATCGTTTCGTCTGAAAAAGAAAAAAAAGGAGAAATTAAATATGTATTTGTCACTGTAGTCTGTTTTTCAGAGGACAATTTGCAGTTGCGCGTATTGCGTCAGGTTCGCTTCACCTCGCAATTGATGGCCTAGAAACCTAATGCCCTAATTTCAACCAATCAATTGCGAAACTAGAACCAGTCGCAACTGGGTCTCTAACGTTTTCTCACATTTCAGTAACTTAGTTTTTGTTGGCTTCCAGAGATATTCTCCTTTGCTGTGACTGACCTTTCCAATAACTTTGATTTTGATTTTACCACACTTAATCGGAAGGCCCTCTACGAATGATATCTTTTTAATTTCCCTGTTTTTATATTCCTTTAGGTAATTTTTTGTGGCGTCGATTTGAAGCATGGATTTATTCTTATCAAGATAGAGATTTGAGATAATCTCTTCAAAGCCTTGTACTTCCTAAATTAATTGCTAATGTTAATCTCCGTTTTATTTTATCATTAACAACTTTAATGTTAATCGTTGTGTTCTTAAATTCACTTACTTCGAAAGTTTGCAAAGTCTTCGGGAGAGATTGGTCCTTGAAGAAGCGTTTGAAGCTGAAGAAAAAATAAGCAAATGTCGACGCATGTAATAGTAACTATTGATAAAAGAATGATCTAATTATTGGAAAAGCCTTCAAAATAACCATGGAGTTAGAGATGGTAATAATACCTACCCTCAAAATTATTTGACTCACAGACGAGAGCAAATTAACAAGCACTCTGCAAAGGTAAATAACGCATAAATCAACCTCTTGATTTGTAGCGAGGGAATGTAAAGAAATATGGAATGGCTAGGTAACGTTGAAAAAAGCTCAAGATTCCTTTGATTCATGCTGTCTATGTTACAATTTGAATGTTAGAATGTGATGATGATAAATAAATTGCTTTATCACCCCACGAATTAATATCATCATTTACTTGTTTTTCACTCTGTCAACCGGACATTTAACAGTCAACCAGTCAATCAATTAATCAATCTACCCATCTATCCATCTATCTATCCATTCTTGCTTAATTGTTTTCCCATTAAGCCAAACAGTTAATCAATAAACAGAAGCTACTAAATCTAATGCTAGTCTTGATTGTTTCATTGGTTATCTTAGAAGCATTTTCAGATGAGTTTCGGACGTCATTCGGGATCGCATTGGTTTTACTTTACCATATTTCTGCGATTGGTGTAGAAAACGAGCGCCATGCATTCTCTCAGCCAATCAGACACTAACTTAAACCAATTTTGACTTGGTCACTCGTGTTTTCATGCGCCTCAGACAATTTGCTTGTTCAGACTTTGAACCCTCATCGTTGAAATTATTCTGACAAAAGTTTTGCAACAGTCAATCGAAATCCAATCTACAGTTTCAGTTTTAGTTGATCATGCCCATTTACACTTACGTCTGAACCTCAGGTGGTAAAGTCAGTTCTGGAGTTGTTGAAGATGACGTCACAGGAGTAAATGTGACACTGGATGGTTCCACTGTTAAGGTGGTGAAAGGAGCAGAACTTAACATTGGTAATTCTGTAACTAGAGTCGACATTAAGTGAGAGGAACTGGAAACTGATGGCACAAGTGAACTCAGTGTCGGAGGAGAACTTAGTATTGAAGGTGCAGCTGAACTCAATGTTGGTTGTTCTGTTGCTGACATGGATTGGTTTTGAGTGGAAGTAGGTGAACTTGTTGTTAGTATCCCTGTGAATGACGAAGATTGGTTTTCAGAAGTTATTGGTGAACTCATTGCTGGTATCAATGAGGCTGTCGAGGACGAGATAAAAAGATGGCTCATAACTGAATGAGCTGGAGAACTCAGTGATGGCATTTCTGTGACCGATGTGGAGGAAGTAACCATCGGACTGGAACTCATAACGGACGAACTTGATGGAGCTGCAAAGTAAATTAGCTTTTGATGAGAAAAATAGTCAGATTGACATTTTTCCTTCATGGTCTGAATACACTAACTGCAGCTTACTAGATACTTATTTTTATTCAGCGAACGGTAGATAAGTGTGAAAATTATGTTCTTAACACATTTTTATCTCATTTCTCATCCATTTGTCCGTTTCTCGGCGACATAAAATCTGTCTCATGTGGGTCAGTACAGTAATAGATCACAGAAGACAAACTCATCTCGCATCGTTTACTGTACCACTTTTCTTTCTTACCACATTTTGACGCCATCTTTGTTCTATTACTGTACAAACCCACGGCAACATGGAGTCTATTTGTCAATTAGCTTATCGCTCAAAAAACACTCACGTAGTTCTATGAGATACTGAGCCAGAAATCCTCTCCGTCTGACAGACGAGTCGGAAGTAAAGGTTACTTTTACCAACTGGGTTGTACTTCCATTTACCGCCACTTCGTAATTATGTTTATCGCCGCTTAAAGTTGCTATGGTCCTACCAACACTATCAGTCAACGTAACGAAATCGCAACTGCAAGAAAGTTAAGAAAATGTACAAGGATATAAGGATATATACTTTTACATTTGACCCATTTTTTGCTTTAAAAGCTATTTAGCGGCAGGCAATGAATGTATGACTATACTGACGAAAATTTATACATAACAGTCTGTCGGTTATCCCCTTAATCTCCCACCTGAAGGTTTTTGTAAACCTCGGTTGCTTTTTGAGAGAGTGATCGAGGCTTCGGTGACTCCTTTGTGTGACGTCATCAGAACCAAACGAAAAAATTTTTCGTTAGTTGAAAATTGCATGCTTTTCAAAACTATTCGGTCAGCTTTCATTTTAACATTAGTTGTACTTTTAAAGAAGTCAAGAATTCTTTACCCAAAGCGTCATGGTATATTCCATTCAAAAGCTCTACATGTGCCGTGCCGTGAGTGATGGAGCATGCGTACAAGGTCTCAATGGGGCAAAATACTACTAGTATTTTGGACGATGCCCATCTGTGTCAGTCATGATGAAACGCATTCATCGGCAAAAACATTCCAAACGAAAGACGAGTGAGGGAGAAAACAATTTGTTTTAGTCAAAACTAATTAAAGGAAAAGGAACGTCACAGTCGGCGCGCATAATAAAGGGTGAACGCAATTGACTAAAGGCGATAGTAGATTACAAGTTGATGGTTGGTAAATCTTTACTCACCACTCCTCCGTTTCGAACTCTACGAAAATAAGAGTTAAATATCCATCAGAAGGAATCAGCAAAGTCCATGAGCAGTCCAGGTTGTCGTCGTATTTCAGTTGAGTGAGATATCCAGGACTTCGAAATGTTCCCGAAGTGCCATTCAACATTCCCCCACAGCCTGCAAAAAAGGGAGACACCATTTCATTCAAAGAGCAGGTTTTCTGGTTTCAAATTCATAGATGTTTCATGGCCACCTTCACAGTCATATCGAAAATTCATGGTTCTTGGTAAGTTTTTAGCTTGGCAAAGAAATAGAGAAAGATGTTTTTCGTCTTATCACGAGCATGGGCCAAAGAAAAAAACTCCGAGTCTCCATGAGGAATCGAACCCCAGACCTTCGGATTCCGCGCTCCGATGTTCTAACACTGAGCCACAGAGACTCTATGGCGAGCAAGGCCCGTCACGAAGTTCACATATGACATCCTCTCCCCCCGGCGATAAATAATGTCTGCTCCCTACTTCAATTCATTTTTCTGGTTCAATTTTCATTCTAGCTCGATCAAGTGGGTAGTATTACATAGGATTCTTGATCAATTAAGTCACGTACGTACCTTCAACGGATGTCTTGGTGAGGAAAATTGTCGTAACCATGAGCAATATCGACAGGAAGTGATTCATGTTCTTCATTTTGACGACGAGTCACGTAGAAGGCCTAGGTCAAACAATTAAATAAAAAAAATCATCAAGTTACGTGTGCCATGTTTGCAAACAACAAATACAGAGACACCTGGCTCATAAAGTGTAGAACAACATGCTCAAGTAGTTGATTAACTGATCAATTCTCATTTACCCTTTGGCAAGTTTATCTTGTTTAGCTTTCATTTGGCAAATGTCCCTTGCTGCTGGGGACGCCAGACACTGAACAACTGTCAGATTCTTTCCCCGTTCTACACTTCTTTTTAATCACTGACACGTTTATAAGTTCGTGAAGGATACCTTCCCAAACGTAAAACTTTCTCGTGTGGACTTTTTAATTTGTAATAAAACACATGGTCACAGAAAAAAACACACCCCACTGTTTAGAATTTTCAGGTGCCTTAAAGACCATAGTATAATAATACAAAAAAAAAACAGCTTTAAATATAAAAAAAAAACAACAAGTGAAACTAAAGCATTTCTTTCCAAATTCTGAACGTATGTCCTTAAATGGTAGGAGTTATCAACCTGTAATATTTAGCCGTCTACGACTGTATTTGTCAAGACCTTGTAAAATTTCCTGCAAGTAGCGCTTTCAATCTTTCAAAACGCTTTACACCTCATTTGTCCTTGGGCATCTCATTTATTTATCTTACTAGCCGTATTTATCTTAAACTCCTGGTTTAGTTAGGAAATTATATCTGTGATTTATTTAACTTATCGGTATTACCGGTAGTCTTAACATGTATATCATTGGCTCAGGGTAGGCACATGTATGCGCAACACGGCTGCTATGATCTAATCAACAAAACTTTGTCAGGATATCCTGTGGTTGGAATATTGGCTTAAGATTTACAGGCGTATGTTATTATTTTGGGAAGCTCTCCAAGGTAACGGCTTAATAGTCAAACAAAAACTCATTCGACCATTCTTAAGAAACATATGATGGCACTTAACGATATGAAACTACAATAAAAATTAGATTTAATTATACAGCTGTTAGTTCAAACGGTATTGTAAAAGCAAACCATTTAGAAGAAACGGTACGCTAAAGAGACCAATCATTTTTTTTTTTCATCAGCTTGAAATGACAAATAATTCCTGTTTAATTTTTAGCGAGATGGAATGAAACCATCGCTTAAATGTTCTTCTAAAATATCCTAAGAGCTCGTAATTTCTTTAGAAATTTCAGTTATAGATAATTGTTTGATATTTGGCAGCTGTTGCTCCATTTTCCTGTAAAACGTATTTCTTACAATTGAGTATTTAGGGTACAGAAAAGATAACGAATTTCGTCATTGTTAGAAACGCAAGTAGGGTGAAATCTATCCGTTGCAGTTTTAATTTGGTATAGCCTGTGATAGCCCGGTAGTTTAAACGAAATTCGATCACAAACGAATCGATAATAGAAGAATAGAAAGGATTTTTGTGGCTAGAATTAATGGCCTCGAAAGTTTGTCAACAAGAGGTGAAGAAAAAAAAAGGAATTGACGCCAAACGTTCTGATCAAGCTGGACGATCGATACATGCTAAAAAAAAATGTAAAATACCCTATTACTTTTGCGGAATTTAGGCTATCTAGGCTGCTTAGGGAGAATTCATTTAGGTTCCCAGTTTTGTTCGGTTAAATCAACCATAGAAGATTTACATGTTGTACTCTAACTTACGACGACAGACTGTAGCACAAAGTTAGAAGTTAGAGAAAGGAACGCTATATTTATCTTAGTGTTTGTCGAGTATTTTCGCTGAGAGATTTAAAAGGTGAGAGATAAAAATTATGATGGAAAACGCCTATACTTATCATTTAGAAAGAAAGTCTAGTAACCAGAGTGGAAAATTGATCACCAAAATTGCTATCAGCTACCAAAAGATGGCGAAAAGTGCATACAATTATCGATACTCCATTAGTCTGATGCCAAAAATTAAGTAATAATTGAAAAAATTTCCAATATTCACTTTTCACAATGAATTGCTAATTTCCATGAAAATGATGCTCATTTGCTTTACTGAGGTAATTCATATTGTGTCCAGCAACTATCTTTTCAGTCTAACGTGCTTCGAAAAGTACGGTTCCAGTTTTGGCAGTAAAGCAATCATAATGATTCATGCAGAAGAAATTTAGCAATTTGTTCGCCTGTAAATTCAACATGAAATGACTCGATTCAAGCTTAAACAAAACATTTAAAAAAAATTGGTGTGGTTTGATCAGATCAAGTTTTTTAACTACGTAAACTTACCAGAGAGTTTTAAGATGCTGTTCCTTTCTTCACCTCTACAAGAATGTCAAAATATATCAAAACACTCCGGGAGTAAAGATTTAACAGAGGCAGATATCATTCTAACGCGCATCGGTGCCTGAACAATATCTCCGACTGTATGATTTAATTACTTGTATTGTTAGCTGTTAATTATCACTCCATTCAGTCCAATTTTTTTTCCTGTGCTATTTCTCAGGGATTTTTTCGCTACTGTCAGAGACCCGATTTTTACGCCCTTAAGCGTGTCGAACACATGTCGTCCATCAATTACTTCGCGGTGATGAAATATCTTTGTAAATATAACGATAAAACCACTTGACAAAGATCTGCTAAAAAATATGAAAGCAATTTTTCTCCGAAACTTCGAACCTCTGAGGTAATAGTCAGATTCTTTCGATTTCCTGCTCAATTTCCTCCAGGCCAGTGTCTTATTTTAGATTGCTCACAAATGACGTAAACATTAACACAGACATGGGTGAGAATTTCCAGCAAAGGGGGGAGGGGATGGGCTGTCTACAACAGCATTTTACAGGCCCCTCAGTGACATGTTTCGGGTATCTTAGAGGGTCTGCATTCACTACATCCCTTCCCCTAACCGGCCCACCTTTCGTAGGGTCATGCATTTTTACCATAAAGTGGCCACCTTGTCGACGTAATTTGAGGGATGTTCGATATAAGGAATTTTGAGAGGTTAAAATTTTGAGGAACGTGATACCTGTCAATTTTCAACTCTACCGTGGCCCATATAGCACATCAGCAATGTTTTCTCGTTTCCGATTGAAACTAATTACATGCAGAACACGGATTTTCATTCAGGAAAAAAATGAAATTTCTGCAGTAAGAATTTGAATTGTTTATGAGAAAAACTATGACACTAGATTTTTGCGGTAAAAAATTCGAATACCGAACACTATATTTCAACACTAGAAAACTCGGATTTTCCTATTATTATTTTTATTTTTTGTGGTTGCAATATAGGTTGTTTATAACCAACAGCACAACTTGCAAATTTTCCACAGAAAATCCGAGTTGTTTACATGGAAAAAAAAGACACATCTCGAATTTTTGCGATGAAATATTGAGTTGTTGAATTAGGAATAAGACTACTCCAATTTTTAGATTCAAAACACTTGTTGTGTATGATATCAAATTACGTTCGAAAAAAAAATGTTAATGTCCTTTATGAATGCAGCTCAAAATATTTCCCAGAATTCCTTGGGCGGAGTTAGGGGCCGGAGAACTGATGAGCCCGCATGCTTCTCACTATAGTTAAAAACAAAAAGGCGGACAAACTGTGTTCAGTGGGGAATGGCTCTTAATGTTTAAGAAGTTGGAGTTAATCTGGGCCTACTTTTTTCCAGGGTGATTAACGATAATTCAGGATTAAAAGTTCAACTAGCCTTCAATTTTCCTTGAAATAAAGCGTATATCAGGGCTTACGTTTTGAGGGTTTTTACTTTACGCAACAGAAGGCAAAAATATAAACAATAAAAAATGGTCTAAAAAGCTACAAAACTAAATGAAAAATTGTTCAAAAACCCTTGGTTAACTTAATCGCACTTTGGAAAACTCAGCCCTGAGTTTAAGTCAAGATTTTTTACACTATTACAACTATATTTTCACTATTTTATCGAAATAAAATTATATGCAAAACCAGTCATTACAAAAGCGTCCCATTTCGAGTAACAACTGAACTTAAGTGACCGAAAAGCTCGCAGGTCTCGCCATTGCAAGCTTGAGAACGAAATTTGAATTACAAATATGTTTTTGGCTAAATTAATATTCATGTATTTGCCACCACCATTGCACGTGGAAAGAGCTTCCGAACGACAAGAAATTTCTGTGCCTTTTGCAGCGTCTTTAGGGCCACAAATCACGGCATTTGAACATTATTTTATTGGAAATGGTTTAGCTCTGTCAAGACCGGCTGTATTTTTTTCAAGGACGTTTAATCAAGTGGTTTAAATTCGAAACTAAAGTTTGATGGATACCGTTTTGTCACGAAATTTTCTCAAGGTAAATGTTCTACATATTTAAATAAATTTTCGATTGGAATATAGCGTTTGTTTTTTATACTTCGTTTCACGTTCGAAAACTCAAGTGACTGAGTCAAATGAAAAAGGAAAAGTATGTTTATGTTGTGCAAGATAAATCAAAGCTGCTCCTCTTAAACCACGTGACCTCTGCGGTCTCTCAAAGTGACAGCGAGAAATTTTCACGTTATTATTACTTGTGTGTTGATCGCTTTTCATGATATAAAGTTATTTATGCTCATAGCCTGGCCAAATAAAGATAAAGTGATCATGAAAGTTTTACGATTTAGTACCTCTTTTCATCGATACGGGAGGCTTCGGTCAACCGCCAAATGGACTCGGCGATCCCCGTTTTATCGTGATAGTACATCTACCAAGTCCGAGAAATTATATATCTTGTTGTTTTATTTCAATTAAGGGTGACTCAAACTAAGTTTAATTTTTCGTTCCTGACATTGATTTTAATCATTCAAAACAAGAACGTTCTTTCCAGATATAGCTACAAATGTACTTAAAAACTTTCCCTTTTTCTCTCTGAAGGACGGAGTCTAACGTAAGATGACCACAACTCAAAATCAAAAAATCCTGGGATTAAAGAAGGAACTAGATAACTTCTGACAAGGTTAGTTATCGATGTTTTCATAGATACTACAAATTTGCTACTGCGCATGAGTTAAGCTCACTCAGTGTTAAAATTCTAGCCTGCATTTGTGTCGGGTAATAATC